GGAAAGGAAGGAGGGAGGGTGGAAAGGAAGGAAGGAGAGAGGAAAGGAAGGAGGGAGGGTGGAAAGGAAGGAAGGAGAGAGGAAAGGAAGGAGGGAGGGTGGAAAGGAAGGAAAGGAAGACGCTTAAACAACTGTGTTGGCCAAATGGAACACCTCCCTCCTTCCGGCCAGGACGATAGCTCAGGGCACTGCTGTGAAATGAGAAGTAAAACTTGACAAGGCCAGGGGTGACGTGCCAGGCAGAGGGGTGGACAGACTCGCCTGGGATCCCTGCTCCAGGTGTCTGTCCCTTGCAAACCTGTGTGAGGGACCCACGAGATGATGTGGCCAGTGCTCAACACAGACCAGGCAAGTGCCAGAAAATTCATTCCCACATGTAACTATCTCCAAAAGCTGTTCCCAGAGCCACATGATGGGAAGGGCAGGTCCTGCGTGGCTCTCAGTCAGCCTGCGCTTAGGCTTCTGAGTGGGTGCTCTCAGGGGGTAGATGACTCATCCTTGACCTCCAGGGACCATTCTCCGTCACTGTTATTAAGTGGGGAGCAAGGCCTGTTCCCCACAACCCCTGTTCCAGCCCACAAAATCTATAATCCAGGAAGACAGTACTGGGCGGTCCAGGCAAGAGACAGGCCAGACAGAAGGCAAGGGCCAGGCTGGCATCAGCTGTGCTTGGCTAAGGGCGTGGCAGCAAGGAGAGTCCAGAAATATCTGCAGGGTGGGGGAAAGGGGCAGCTCTGGCCAGCACTCCAGAACAGCCTAGAGCAACATCATTGTAAGAGAGACAGAGACACTCCTGCCCAGGGCCACTGCCAGGTGGTCCTGGCCTTGGGCGGAAGCCTCAACTCCAAGCCCCTCAGTCCCTGAGATGTGGAGAAGGGAGGGGGCCCGGGACTGGGGGCGTTGCTGGGCTTCTGAACCCCTCCCACTGTCTGTTCTTTCAGGGGAGAAGGAGGGAGGGGGCAGAGGATGGAAAAGGATGTCTTTCTAGCCAACTTGATTGAGTCAGAGGAAATTTAACCATTTGATATCTGTCAAGTCTCAAAAAACTTGGCCGACTCTCCCCACAAATTATTGCAAAAAGTGATCATGTGACTGTAATCAACCAATGGCCTGCCAAGGAGATGACCTCAATTTCCAAATATTGGGGTCATGTTTCATTTCCCATACTCTCCTTGCCCGTTACAACGTTAAACTGCCCCAAATGCAATCTTACTTTTCATTCCTTCACACACTTGGCCTAGAAGAAGGTAGGAAAAAGAGCTATGTTCAGAGAAAACTCAGAAAACATCTGGCAAACCCCAGGACGGAGAAGAGTAAAGGCCCACGCTGAGGACCTCTCCCGCCCGGCCTGCATCTGGCGCCGCGCTGAGCATGACTTCCAAATGGGTCCCACCCTGGTTGGCAGAGAGGGGTTTGCAAACCCCACCAGGAAAGGGGCTTCTTCACATGCTTTTAAATGCCTATTTTGACAAGGCAAAATGTCCAGCTCCATGGCCAGCTACCCGTGCCACCCTGGCAGGGCCACAGATGAGGGGAGTGGTTCAGGGAGATGGCAGGGGTGGGATGAACAGCCTGAGGCCAGATGAACATAGGGTCTGCCAGCTACACCCAGCCCCCGCCTCCTCCTGAGTCCCTCCTGAGGTTCTGGGAAAAAACCCAGAGGCACTGAGATAGGGCCTAGTCCCTGGTCAACAGTGTGGTCCCCTGGGCTCATTCTCCATCTCTTTCCACCCTACTCTTCCGGGGACCTCTTCTGTCCCCCACCTTCAACTAACCCCCGGAGAAACACAAGGCCAGTTAGCCCAGGGTCATGGAAGAGCTGATGGAAGCCCCAGATAAGACCCCAGATCCTGGGAACCAAGCCAGGCTCCTCCCTCCTCCCCTGGAGCCCCAGGGCAGCCCCACACCCAGACTCCTGCTCATCCACGCCAACCCAGCAAGCACTGATTGTGCCAGGAAAAAAGGAAAAGAATCTTTTAATTGGCAAGTGGAAGGTGGAAAATGACTCTTCCCACTTGTCTCCCCTTCACAAGGCATTGAAAGCGGCCTTTTCTCTGGGGGACGGCGTGTCCGTCCATCTGCCCACTGAGCCCACTGTCCCTTCCCCTTGCACCAGCAGTTCTGAGCCTTCATCATCCCATCTGTTCATGGCGAGTAAGGCACCTTCCAGGACTTTGGGCTCTGATGTTTGAGCGACCGTGAAGACCCACCCCAGAGCTAAGCACCAAAGGTTATGCCTAGAAAAACACTCTCGCACCAGGCAGTGTGCCAGTCAGAACTACCAAAACCCAGGCAGGGATCCAGTCTGTGCCCGCTGGCAGAGCCCTCCCAGGGAGGCCGGGCTCCTTCCAAAGGCTGACCCGGCAGAAGGAACGGCACATATGCCCACAGTGAAAACCCTTGACAGCCCTGCCTCCAAGAGCATCTCCTGGCTTTTCTCAGACACCCAGTCTCTGCTCAGGGAACCTAAGCAAAGTTGCCTCCAGGAGTACAGGAGGTCTGGGGTGGTGGGATGAGAAGCAGGGCTGGTCTGCCCCTCTGCTAGACTCTCCAGTGCCACTGAACACTTAGGCAGCCAGGACCGCAGGAAACCGTCCCCAGGGAAAGCCAGAGCCAGCCCAGAGAGACGCGTGCCTGGTGAAGGAAGTCCAGAGCTCTGGGACCCCCCACCCCAGGAACCCCTCGACAATCAGCCGGGTTTGACAGACTGTGACTCTAGGGGGCGGCCCTGCCCGGCTTTCAGCAGAGGAAGTTCTGTTGTAGGGCCCTGTGGGCCAGAGCCGGGCGCCTGTGATGTGGGACCCAGAACGGAGAACGCAAGGTTTCAGGACAAAAGTTTGCCCGGCTCATGGACAACACCCTGGCGGGTCCAACTCGCAGCCCTTCCTCGATCGCACGGTTGCCCCACCCGACTCGCACGTTTGGGGACTGCGGCGGCAAGTCTCCCCCTCCGGGCCTCCAGCCAATGGCATTCGCGGTCTCGGCCCGTGCATTCCACAGGCCAAGGGGGAGAGTTGTGCAGGCGCGGAAGAGGCGGCCTAAGGCGCCCCGGGATGACAGCGCGCCCGGGACGCGCGCGCCCCTTCCTGCAGCCCCCACGCCCGGGCGCCCTTACCTGCGCAGCTCTGAGGCAGCGCCCACAGCAGCAGCAGCAGCGGCAGCAGCAACGGCAACGGTGGGGTCAGCAGCGGAGTGCCCAGGCGGTGCGGGCTGCGCGCTTTCCAGCGAGTGTGGACGTCCATGCCGGCGGAACGCGGGCCGGGGCGCGCAGGGGCGCTCAGGGGCACACGGGACGCACGGGGAGCGCGGGGCTCCGCCCGGGCGGCAGACTCAGCGGGGACCGCACCACTTCAAGAGGGCATGGGGAGCACGGCGCCGCCCGTTCTTCTTTGTGGAGGTGGCTGTTCTGAAAGGGGCGGCTGGCGCGCTCGCCCACGGGCGGGAGGGCTCGACTCTGGCCCGCGGGGCGGCCGGGACCCCGCTCGGCTCGCTCACACTCGCTTCCTCCTCCTCCCGCAACTCCTTCTCGCCTCCTCCTGGCCGCCGCCGCCCCGCGACCCGCTCCCCGTGGGCGCTCCGCTGGAGTGAGGTCCTGCGCCAGCCGCGGGGACGAGGAGTGCGGACCTCGCCTTGGGCGCCGCTCACTTTTTCCCCCTCTCTCCCTCCCTCTCTCCTGGCAGGCAGCCGCGGAGGCCGTCGATCCCCCAGGCCCGGCAGCGAATCAGAGCCCGGCTCTGGGCTCGGCCAGGCCAGCCCCCGCCTCCCACTGGGCGCCGCGGGCGAAGGGGTGGGGACAGCGGGCGAGTCGCGGCGAGGAAGGGGCTGGCCCCGGGCGGGAGCGGCCTTGGGGCGGGCGCGCCTGCTCTTTCTCCGAGAGCGGGCGGCGAGCCGGGGCGGCCTCGGAGCGCAGCGGCCCGCTCTGGCCCTCGACTCTTCACTTCCCAGGTGCCCTCACCTGGCCAAGCGCCAAGAACCAGTGCGGAAGGGCCGGCAAAGTTTGGTCCCTTGGGTTGTGGAGAAAGAGTTGCCGCGCACCCCGCCTAACTTTGTCATGAACGTGGAGTAATTCAGAACTCCTCTTCTGGGTGGAGACTAAACTTCCACTCCAGCCAGATCGGGGCGCCCAAGACTGTGGCGACGTGTCAGCCTGGACAGCGGACCTTCTACCTCCCTCTTAGCTGCAGATGGGCAGGGGACCCTAATTACAGTCCAGTGTCCCGAGAGGTCTCAAACCTCCATGTGCTTGGACACGGAACATCTGGGTTACTAATCAGGCAAGGTTTGCTCTGCTCCCCGCCACTCCTTCGCCTCACTCCTGCCTACTCCCTGGTGGCCCCTCTGCCATAAAAAGGAAACCAAAGAAAACATCCCCTTCGGGAGATGACAGAGACGACAGAGACCGACAGCCACCAAGCAGAGGGCATTCCTGATCTCTGCCCCGGGGAGGAGCTGGCAGACAGCCCCTCCAGCCTTCACTTCTTTGCGCCTTCTGAAGGCTCCTCCCCTCCCACGGAAGGCCTGCCAGGCTCAGTGGTGAGTGGGAGTCTCCCTCTCAGCCTTCCACAGCCCCGGGGGGCCTTCCTGCACTGCCTGCTGAAGCCTGACCCACACTCCTTTCCCCAGGGCTGCTCCGCTTGCTGTTAAAACAAGGAATGAAAGTGAATTAAGAAGGCTTTTCAAACCCTGAGCCGTCCTGTTGCCTTTGAACAAACAATTCAGCCCGTAATGCCAGACGAGGCTGGGACTCCCCTCTCCAGTTACATCTCCAGACTGGGCGTGAAATTCTCCAAATGCCCTTTAATTCCCAACATTCTGGAAACAGGAGCTGAGGAAGGCAGTCAGGGGTCAGGCTTGCTGGGATGGTCCTGTGCCGGCTCTTGAGCCTGGAGGCAAGTTGCTGGTGCCAACTTAATGATTGAGCTTTCAGCCTCCACAGCTGCCACATAGACTCTTATAGATATTAAGTTTTGCAAACACTAACAGGGAGAGAGGCTTGAGACACTTTCTGTAAAGTGAAAGTTACTTCTGGGTTTTATATTGTTTGTTATTGATTATGTTTTCCAACTTGTACAGGTCATATATGTGATGGGGAAAAGTGTGTTTGTCTGAGTTGAGAGTACATGTGCTTACGTGAGAGTGTGGGGCTGTGTGTGTACATGGTGTACATGTATGAGAGAGGTGGACACATCTACATATGTGGGCCTGTGTACATGTGTGAGAGAGGTGTGTGCATGTGTGGGCCTGTGTACATGTGTGAGAGAGGTGTGTGCATGTGTGGGCCCGTGTACATGTATGAGAGAGGTGTGTGCATGTGTGGGCACATGTACATATGTGAGAGAAGTATGTGCATGCATAGGCACGTGCATTGTTTAAGCTGTGACTTTTGTTCCCTGCACCCCTTGCTGAGTGAGCCCCAGCCCCACATGGCCCCCTGGAGTACACCATACCCACCAGCAGGAAGACCAGCATCCCGCTAAAGACTAGAGGTGCTGCCACAAGTCAGCAGCCTGATTATCGGAAGAGGGTGCAGACTCTGATCCCAGTGTTGTGAAGGTCGTCCTTTTCCCCAAGGATGCCTGAGTCTCCTTTCTGACAGTCACGTGTGTGCTTCTGAGCTGGTTAGCCAGCCCCTTGTCTCCTGTAACTCGGAACAGGCTTCTGAACTTTGGCCCAGCTTACATAACGAGTCCCTCAAGAGCTAAAAGTCAAATGACCACCCAGGACCCCCCTAAGTTGACCTCCCAGCAACAATATGAACGCACAGGCTTAAGACTCGTGGACACAGCAGCTTGGACAGAGGCAAGCAGTGTAGTGGCTCGGCCAGGTTGGCAAATGTGTTTTCACACGGGTGAGGACTAGGATTCCAAGGATGGCAGTAAAACTCTCAGCCGTCCCCTCAGGCCTCCCACATCATGCCCACAGGTGTATCAGTTCTCATGCAATGGCAGGGAATTCTGTCGTGTGTCCCGTTTACAGACAAGGAAGTTGGCAGCCACAGAGGGTAAAGAAATTCCCAATGTACCAACTCTCCTGCAGGAGAGTCAGGATGGGAGCGCAGGTCCTGAGCTTGCAGTCTGGAGCACGTGCTGCTTGTCCCACACATCATCTGGACCAAACAATGCCTGCAGGACCACCCTGTTAGCAGGACCACCTTGCCCAGACTCAGGCAATAGTGACCGCAGGAGACTGTCCCAATCTCTCCTCAGCCTGTGCCCTCCCACAGCCGGTTAAGTGGAGAGTCCTTGGGAAAAGGTTTACTGCACATTCCCCTTGCCAACACCGCTGTAGGCTTCGGGGAGTCTGCAGTGAGGGAGCCTCCGAGTCCTTTGCACACTGTCCTTACAGGCAGCAGAAGGACTCCATCACCCAAGTCGGGTGGCCCCCGGTGTGCCCGTGTCTTCCTCCTCTGTGACGCACATCAGTTTCCTATCCAGGCCCTCCCTGGGCACCACTTCTGCATGGCTCTGACCATGGACAGGGCTACTCCAGCTGGTGCCCTGCACAGCTCTGGATGACCCCAGCCTGGCCTGCCACCTGCCGCCTGTTTCCCATGGCACCTTGTGGGGTGTGGGGCAGGCCAGATGTGCCCTGTACCTCGCTCCTGAGATCTGATTGCCCAACTTCACATCTGTTTCTTCTCACTGATTTTTTAGGCAGCAGAGCCGAAATCCCCAAGAGAGCATATGTGAGAATGTCAACTTTTGCTCTGTCATGGAGCTGATGGTCCCTCACCCTCCTGAGAGTCCCATCAGCCTCCAGAGTCACTGCCTGGCAGGAGGTGCTGGCCCCTTCCCAGGGTCAAGCCCTCAAGGGGCAGGAACCAGGCTTTCTCTCCCCCTTCTCACAGGTGGGAGTTCCAGTCCCAGGAGGAGACAGGTACCCAGGTAGCCCGTCTTCACAGAATGCCCAGATGCAGGGGTCTGCTTGCCCTCCAGGAGTTTGTGGTCCACTGAGGTGGGCTCAGGAGGGCCTGGCAGAGTACCTGGAGCTTCCCACACTACCCCAAGCAGGGACACTTTAGGGCCTGCGCCTACCCCAGTCTCCAAGGAGAATGCTCCAGTCTTGTGTCCTACGCTGGTGGCAACAACTCCAGCCTTCAGCCAGTGTCCTGGAACCCAGCCACGTGCAGAGTCTCCCAGACACACCAGCATCCCAGTGGCACTAGTCATTACCCATGCGACGGTGGGCAAGTGGGTTCTTCTCTCTGAGCCTCAGTTTGCTGTGTATGAACTGCGGATGAGGAAACTGACCTCTGTGGACCCCTGTGATGCTTAGATGAGAAGACAGGGGAGGGAGGCCTGGCTGGGTGCTGGAGATGGCTTCCCCTTCCCACTTCTCTGCCCCTGACCCTCCAAGCCTTCTGCCCTCCCACCAAGGCACCGCTTACCTGCGTCATCTTATTCACTCAAGCAACAACCCTTTGAAATAGGAAGAAAAGAAGGCTCAGAAAGCCAACTGCTCCCTCAGGGCTGAGCAGCAAGGGTGTAGCTGAACAGGACTGGACCCAGACCTTCCTGATTGGCCCTGCGCTCCACAAGCAGAGTGGACCAGGGAGAACCTGAAGGCTGGTCCAGGTGGAGAGCAAGTCCTGCTGTCTGCAGAACTCACAGCACCATGCTGCCCCTGCTTTGCCTCTGACCTTCAGCCTTGACCCAAGCCCACACAAGCTGCAGCTTCTTAGAAGACCAGGCCACTGCTCTGTCCACAGAGCCAGCAGAACTCTCCCTCCATATCAGGGTGGGGGTAAGAAGGGAGGGAGCCCCTCACATCCCCATGTCATCACTGAACAGTTACTGATACTTGGAAAGGCAGCCACTTTCAAGGCTTCAGACAAAGGCTTTCCTTCATCACCTCGTGTTTGAGGCCTTCTTCGTTCTGCATCCCTCAAGTGGGAGTGGGGCCAGGTGGGCTGGCCAACAGCCCAAGGGGGGCTCCTGAGATTGCCAGGGTCTACAGGTGGCCTGCTCGGGCTGCCACAACTAAGTGCCACATGCTGTCTGGCTTAAATGACAGGAAATTTTCTCTCCCAGTCCTGGCGACGGGAAGCCCCAGAGCAAGGTGGGGTGGGCTGGCCTCATGTGAGGCCTCTCTTCTCGGTCTGCAGAAGGCCACCTTCACCCTGTGTCTTCATATGGTTGTCTGTCCCTTTGTTTGTCTGGGTCTTAACTTCCTTTTCTGACAGGGACACCAGGCAGACTGGAAAACAGCCTGCCCTAATGCACCTGTTTTGACTTAATTATCTCTTTACAGGCCCTGTCTGCAAACACAGTCACACTCTAGGATAATGGAGTTATAGATTTCAGAGGGTGCAAACCAGCCCATAGCACATCGGCCATCCCACTCAGGAGGCTTCAGCAGGAATCCAGGATTGAGGAGCTCTGCTTTCCAGAACAATAGGGGCTTTTAGCTACCAAAGGCACTGTCCTGCTGCATGGGGGCAGGGGATACAGGGCAGCGACCCTGTCCAGATGGACTTCTGACCTCTGCTAGACCTGTTGCCACTCTGGCCATTTATCCCCTTTAGCACATGG